GCCTCTCGGCGTCTCCGTCCCTCCGTCCTTCTCTCTCCGGCGCCCGGAGTCGCCGCCCCAGTCGGCCGCGAGAGCGAGCGAGGAGCGAGCGGAGCCTCCTGGAGGCGGCGATGAGGTAACCGCCTGCCCGCCCGCCCCTCCCACCTCCCCGCTACCCGGCCAGGACGCCCCTCCCGGGAAGGGTCGCGGGAAGGTGACTGGGGTGCAGGGATCGCAGGAAGGGACCCAGCCCCCTTCGCACTCTGTGCTCCTGTCACCCGCTCCAAAATAGAAGTCCCTTCCCGCCCACGCCCCCGTCCGCTCCTCCAAAACCGCTCCTGCAAGCTGGCTCCTCACAAACCCGGCCCGCTGGAGTCAGCCCGCGCGGGTCGGATTCAGCCCAGCTGTGTGACCTTGGGCGAGTCGCCCGCACTGCACTGACTCCACTCCGCATCCATCAAAGGCAGACACCGTTTCTTGAGACCCTAGTACGTGCCAGGCCCTTTACTAAGCTATTACCTACATGATCCTTACATCGACAGCTTCAACCTGGTGTCTCTGAGGCGGGAGAAAACTGAGGCGGGACAGGGGACTCTGCAAGGTTGAGGGGCAGCAGGTGGCCCCTGACATGCAGCCTTGTGGTCTCCTCTGAGGAGTTCTTCCACCTCTGTCCTGCCCACAGGGGTAAATAGCCAGCACTAAGTAATGTGTCAAATGGCTTCATGGAGGGGGACTGGGATAGACTGCTGAATCCAAGATGTACCCTGTCACAGCAGCTCAGCCCCAAATCCCTGCCCCAACAAGGCTGAAAGATCAGAAATTGGTCAACACCACCTTCGGCACTGCTAAGGCCAAGTTTTCTGCCTGAGGGTTCACCTGTAGCTTCCCTCAAACCCTGCAGCCTGCATGCTAGATTGCCAGAGCCCTGCTCCCTGGAGCTGGAGGGAAGCTCCTTCCCCATCGGGGCTTGGGAAGTCTGGCTTTACCAGCCTCATCCTCTGCCTCTGCTTGCCTACCCACTGTGGGGTGCACCCACATCTCTCACCAGATGCCCAGGTACTGGACGAAATGCACAGACATCTGTTTCTGCGCTGACCAAGGATTTCACTTCTCTGTCTCTTCAACAAACATCCCCAATCTTACTGCTTGCCAGTATGCTGAGATGGATTTTAAAAAGAAAGAAAAAATCCCTGCCTTAATAGAGAATGTTTTAGAATACATGGGATCCTGGAATTTTATGAGCACAGACAACATGCCCACCCCAGGCTGGGGTAAGTGGAGGAGGGAGAAGGAGCAAGATTCTGAAGTAGGGAAGGGGGCGCATCCTCCAGGGAGCAGGTGATGGCAACCAGAGTGCATTTTCCCAGAGCACACTGGATCAGGGACCTCGGTCTGCTTTCACTCTTCTCCTCAACCACCAGGGAGTTCAGAGTCAAGAGTTGTGGCTACATCTGGCAGGTGTTCCAGGTCTTCAGGCCCAGGGAGTGGGGACCCTTGGCTTTATCTTCCTTTCCTGCTGTGATTTTTCCCTTCACCCGGTTTCCCCTCTGACTTCTTTTCAGGCTTCTTGGTTTTGTGAGCTGCCTCAAGTTCTTTGAGGAACAAGTCAGGGAGTAAATAAACTAGGTCCCCTTTCCCTGTTGGCACTGAGCAGGGTGTGGGGCTGACATCAGGATCCTTAGGGCTGTAGGTGGGGCCCACCCCTGCCTGGAGCACCCTCTCTTCTTGCCGTCACATGTGGGAGCCAACTCTGGGCATCCCCTGGTCCTTTCTCTGGAAACCTTCCTCATTTCACTTTCAGACAGAGCACCCTCTTTCTTGGGCAGGGCTTCCCTGGGAACCACAAACAGGGCTGTGTGTGAGGCACCTCCAGGCCCCAGTGCGTGGACTTGGGATGATGGAGGACACTCTGGACAGGGTATGTCTGAACGCTGCCACAAAGCGGACTCCACAGGGGTGACATGTTCCCGAGGAAGCTCTCCCATCAGCGGCACCAGAGGTCATTCCAGTTTATCAAGGACCTGTGACATGCCAAGCCCTGATCATGGCTGCATGCTCATTGAGGCTCAGACAGACACAATGATTTGCCCAAAATGATCCAGCAGGAAAGTGGCAGCATGGGGACCAGAGCCCAGAACCTTAGGCCACTGAGCTTGACTTTGTGAGAAGCCCAACTTCATCAGGGCCCAGGAGCCCAAAGGGCTTCAGGAGGAGGTCCTGTGTGGAGGGACTTTGAGGAAGCCCCAGTTACAAGGGGGCTGAGCTGAGCTGTGACAGGAGTGGGCAGTCTGGTGCCAGGCTTCCCGAAGACTAGCAAACCAGGGAATTTGGGCTGCCTGTCGGCCTGCGATGTGAATTTGGAAGTTTCTCTCATCGGCCCCCACCCTCTTCCCCAACGAGAGGCAGTGGGCTGCCATCTGTGCCACCACTGCTCCCATGCCCCTCCCATCCAGTGCTCCAGGGAGCATCCACCAGGCATCCAGGCATCTGCTCCTTCAGCACATGGGAGCTGGCCCTTGGCATATGGTCTGCCCTCCATGTCTTGTGAGGGAGACAGACATTCAGCCAGGTGCAGACAGATGGAAACGGTAGCACAGGGCTGGTTCAGGCCTGGGGCGCTGAGGGGACCCAGGGGAGGCACAGCCTGGCTGAGGCGGCGCTTGGGAAGGGCCTGATGACATGCTTCAGCTGAGCCCTGAAGGGCTGAGCCCTAGAGGACTGCACCACAGACAGTGGGTGGCTGAGAGGCAGCTCTGAGGGCCTGGGCAGGGACAGGGCTGGGAGGGGAACTGTGTCCCCCGATTCATTGCCCACAGCCTCCCGGCGCCAGCTGGGTGTCCACCTGCCACCTGACCTTTGTCCCCACAACTCTTCCCCATCCTGCCTGATCCCAGCCCTTCCCTGGGGTTGAGCACTGTGGACTGTGTCCAGCTCCCAGGGGTACTTGCTCTGGACTCCTCAGGCCCAGTCATTTGGGTCAGTCCATCGACCATTCATCATGGTCTGTCCTGCCTGTTAACCCCTTGTCCCAGCTTAACTCACCCCCTGAGCCCTGAATGGGGAAAACCCTTACCACTCAGATGTCTCACGCACGGTGGGTCCTTGGTGGCCATCGTAATGCCACCCACTGATTGTAGCCAGTGCGCCCCCTGAAGGTGGCGGGATCTTACAGCTATCGGGACACAAGGAGGCAGTGTAGGGCGGAGCTTCCAAGCCTGGGGAGTGAGACTTCTTGTGTTTGAAACCTCCTCCCCAGAGGTGTGTCATCTGCACAAGTTACTTAAACTCTCTGAACATGTTTCCTTCTCTAAACAGAGTAATAATGGTCTTGACTTCACAGTTGCGGGATGACACGAGATGATCCAAAGGGGAAAACGAGACAATTCAGTAAGGCTGGGGACTAAATTTACACATACAAAATAATTTCATTTTATATGCAAATAGCCGCTAGTTTACAAAATATCAGGGAGGTGTACGTGCACACACAGGATGTAGCCATTTCCTGGTTCTGTTTACTGAGAGGGACTGGAAGTGCCACCTCACGAGCAACTAGCACACCTGGCACCCAGATCTTGGTTTCTGATACTGAAAAAGCAACCAGGCTCCCTGGAGAAATGGCTGATGTGAGGCCTGGAGCAGGACAGATACAGGTCAGCCTGCAGCAGCTCATGATATTGGAAAGTAAGGAAATCTCAAAAGAAACCAAAGGATGAAACCACGTCAAAGGGACACAGCCAACTTGAAAGAGGTCCCAATCATCACAGCTTGAGCAATTTAAGCAACAAGATAATTAATGCACTTTTGGTTTAAACCCAAATTATATTGTCTTTTTTTTTTAGTGGAGGTACTGGGATTGAACCTAGGCCCTTGTGCATGCTAAACATGCACTCTACCACTGAGCTATGACCCTCCCCCAAAACCCAAATTATAAAATAAATATCCATGAGTCCAAGCTGATACAAATGATTGAATTAATAAATAAATGCAGAAGAAACAAATTTTCCTTACAGAAGAATTCCCAATATTTTATGTAGCCGCTCCCTGCCTCCATACTCCTCCATGGGTGTCGGCTGCACTTGGTGACTTGCTTCCAAAAAATGGAGTTGAGGAAGGGGAGGAAGTCCCTTCACGGCAGAGGAAGCTGGAAACGACCTTGGCCGAGTGATCCAGGCTAATGTGACTGTGATAAGTCATGTTGATAGCGTGTCCCCCGACACCTTTGTGGTCTCCTTC